TTTTATTACTTGATTAATACTTTTAATCTTGAAACAAAATTCGATCTAACCATTTCGGTAACTCCACTCTTAAAATACAAAAGGGCGGTGAGAGGTGGTAAACGCAAAATATTTTAAAAAACCGACCTCATTAAGAATCATATAGATCTTCTTAAACATTTCTTAAAGTATTATAATGAGTGTGCATCAGTAGAGAGGTTGTATATTATCATGATGGGTCACTTGACCCACCTTTTTTTTGTTAACAAGTTATATAGAACAAAAATATGTGACATGCCTTATAAAAATTAAATGAACCATCTTGGCGCATATATATATATATATATATATATATATATATATATATATATATATATATATATATATATATATATATATATATATATATATATATATATATATATATATATGGGTGAGATGGGTTGAAAACTCATAATTTTCCGATAATTAAATGTGGAGCGTTGAATCAAAATTAATTCATTAAAGAGATGATCGTCATCTTAGCAATCTCATTTAATGTTTAATTTTTTGTGTTATTGATCATATTAATATGAATGTTTAAAAAAGTTACATAATAAAACAAATTTTTGGATTTTTTGAAAAATTGTATTTTGGTTTTTTTAAAAGCGCATATTTTTTAATTTTTTATAGACAACATGAATTTATGAAAAAAAAAATTAAATTTTTTTATAGAAATTTTGATCCAATAATTGAAATTTTTTATAGAAAACATGCATTTTTCAGATTTTTTTATAGAAAACATGAAGTTGGGAATAACCCTCATGATCAACGATCATTGCCGGTAAATATTCAAGTACGCTAAATAAAATATGACTATGTAAGGAAATTCGATTTCAAAATTCCATTAGCATGTAAAACCATAATAATGAATTCGACAATTGGTGATTCAAAATTTTCGTGCACCGTTAATTACATTTGCTTAAATGCTTTAGTTTTTTTTTTTTTCTCTCTTTTTTTTTTTTTTAATATTGTTTCATAATTTATTTGTTCTAAAAAATCTAATTTCATAATTTATTTGTTCTAAAAAATCTAACTTCTAACAATCTCATGGACGATGGGTGCAACTTTTGGAAACTAGCTGACGGGACATGTCAAAAAATTATAAATTGAATTAAAAAATACAAATAGATGTAAACCATCGGGACACAAACATAATTTACTCAAATAATTATTTTTAAAACTAAAAAGCAATATGGTATTATGGTTATTGACTTATTGTATAGATTTTTAGGTTGTTAGGAAAATGACCTTTACTTTGGTTTTTGCAAGACACTTCGGCATAAAAAAAGGCTCCTTGTTTTTTATATGCATTTCCACGGTTTTTATTATAAACTCAAGTTTTTGTATTTAGTGCACATTAGTTTAATCAACTATACAGTATACATTAGTTTTTTATATTTTAATCAGCTAGTCAAATACGTATAAAAAATTAGGCTATAAACTTCATCAATGATGCCTCCGACTCTGAGAGGGAGTGTTAGTGTATCACACATTGATGCGACACAATCTCTTTTATTTCTGTATATGTTGTAGTCTTCTCTCTCTTCAATAGATTATTTTGAAGAGTTAATATAGGGTTCTAGATATATTTACATGATGTTCAAGCATCTTGTTGTAATGTTGTAAACATTTTAAATTAAGCAAAACTTTTCTCGTGACATATTGTAAAATTATGTTACACCCAAAAAAATTATAAACATCTTATACTATATTTGTTTTGTTTGTTCAAATATTAAAATAAAAAAACATCAGATACAATGTAACTGACATTATATGCTTTCGAGAAATTAGAAAATTTTTATTTTGAAAATACAACAATTTTTCCCCATTTATTTTCTTTATTTTTTGCAGTGCCTATGAATACAATACATACACCTAGGGCTGTAAACGAACTGAACTTTCAGCAAACTGTTCGTGAACCGTTCGGTTAGAAGTTCGTTTATGTTCATTTATTTAATAAATGAACAAACATGAGCACAAATTCTCGTTCGTTTAGTTAGACGAACGAATATACACAATGGTCTCGTTCATTTTATTATGTTCGTGAATGTTTGTTTACGTTCGTTTATATAAGTTCCTTTTATGTTCATATATGTTTAATTGTGTTTGATTAAATTACTATATTATATGTTATTTTTTGTTCATATATGTTCAATTATGTTTGTTTATCTTTGTTCATTTATGTTAGTTTAACATGTCCACGAACATAAACAAACGAACATGAACAATGTAATTTGTTAAACGAACGAACATGAACAAGAAAGTATGTTCGTTTATCCGTCCGTGTTCGTTTATTTGTTCGACTAACTTAAAAAAACGAACATGAACAAGCCATCGTTACCAAAGGGTCTTTGGCCTAGCGGTAAGGAGTGACTCTTTCAAATGAGAGGTTATGGGTTCAAGTCTCACTAGGAGACATAGGTGCTGTTTAGGATTAGATTAGGAGTATGATAGTTTGTTGTTTAAAAAAATACAAGTCATCGTTCATGTTCGTTCTGTTCGTTTACAGCCCTACGTACACGATATGAAGTGAATTGGGATGAAAACGAAATTCAAATTTGTATATGTGGCTAGTGTGAAAAAAAACACGAGGTCATGTTTTCGTATGTGTTTTTTATGATTAATTATCAACTAAATAAATTAATGATTATTTTATATTATATTTGTCATGTTTGTTGTGTTTTAATTGAATCGTTTTGTGTTAGTAAAAGAAAACACGATATCATGATGCATCATATCCATGTAATATAATTTTTTTTTTTCATATTTATGTTATATAAAAAATTTATCTTGTTATGTTATATAAAAAAAAACACAATATATGATTGTCCGATTAGCACTCATTATTCTTTTAAAACTATTAGATGAGTACTTACAAACATGTTATTGTCCTTTTAAAGGAAATTATTTTGGTCCTTCATACATAAAACCCTAATCAAATCATTCACTCTTTCAAATGTATGTCCTAATTTTTTTTTAACAAATAAATTATTTTATTAAACAAAAACTAGCAAGTATCGAGAAAAAACAATTACATCAAAGGCAATTTCAAGAGGGTTTTGAATCCAACCTATCCAACTATTAGAACAATTATGATTTCTTCCACTATACCAATTAACCTAAATTCTTTGCTTCCACAAAGTATGAATAGTTTCGATAAGGACGCTAATTCTGAGAGCTTAACTTTGAACAATCTCATTAAATCACCATCCTAGCTAGTGAAGGAACCGGTAACCGTAAATCGATATTTTAATTCTTTCAACTATGTCCATTATTTGTTTCAGTAAAGAAACAACAATATTACCCAAGTCCCATATAAATGGGGTAACGGGAGGTAGGATAGTCGACAGTCCCGATAAAGTGATTATTTCTGTAGAAGGCGGAACTAAAATATAAATACAAAAAGATATGAGATAATAGTAAATGGAGGCTCTTGCGTTGGATTATCTCTGCAAACAAAAACGTAAGTCGTAATGAAGGAAAAAAAATGTGTTTGTTATAAGGATTAAATGTATACTGTTTAACAAGTTGAAGGAGTAAATGTGAACGAAAAAAAATCAGTAACTAAATATATACAAATAAAAAAATATATTACCATTTTAAGTCATTACTACCCAAATACTACTCTACACCGTTAATCCTAAGCCTTCATAGTTTTCTATATACAACCGGTAAAGAAAGCCAAATATAAATTGGGATACTAAAACCCTATGTTCACATTTTTCACCCTATTCACCAATCAAACCCCTTAAAGGATCTTCCAACTAGGTTATCAAAATCAACTTTCTTGAGAATTCGAAGGATAAGACCAATAAGGGCATTGAAATCGAGAAAGAAATTAGTAGGTTGTTTGTAGTTGTGTTAAACGAGAGAGGGCCATTTTTGTAATTTTTTTAATATACAAAATAAAAAATGTATATAATAGTATAAAATAACTTAAATGATAAAAAAAATTCCTTGTATATGGGTAAAAGATCAAACGGATAATATTTTCAAAACCACATGAAACAAACGCGTAAAGATTTTTCATAGTTGTCTTCAACTAGTTATATATGATAAAACACTATAGCCATATGTTGCCATCATACTAATGACCATTATTGGCGTATTTGGCATGAAGCTTTTAAAAGAAAGCTCATAAAAAAGGTCATGTAGCATAATGTTTTTTTTTTTTTTTTTTTTTTTTACTTTGAATTCAAAAGTTACTTCAAGTAGATTTTAAGAGTTTTTAGTTTTTAGTTTTTAACTGATTTTACATATTTAAAAGATAACAACTACTTTTGTCAAATACAGTGTCAGATGCCTTTAGGGGCTGGGGGAGGCTATGGCCGTCGTGCTATTTGCTCAACTAAAGTCTTTATGGATGAGCTTCCAAATCAAGGAGGAGATACAGTTCTAATTTTCATTTAAATATACCATGTAAACCCTTTTTAATTAATATAATATATATTATATAAAAGAAGGGTTCCCAATTCAACAGTACTTGCTGTTGATTGGACCAACCATTCTTATTTTGTTTTAGTTTTTTTCTTTTTAGTTTCCTTTTGTTTTTTTGTAGTGATTACACAGTGGATTACAGGTGTTATATGTATGATTTCACCGTCCCTTTAACCAATAAGAATTTGATTAGTGTGTACCACCGCTTATACCTTAGTTACACCATTCACCGCTCTCAGTAGACGTATATCCTTCTGTATCTTTCTTCTCCAACGCCATTATCTTGCCTTCCCCGCTTAAACCCTACCGATTTTATTGATTGGTACCCGCAAAACGATCGGCTTTGTGAGTTGCTTTATCTGGTGGTCGTAAGTAATTCCACGAATCAATTAAATCCAGGTATCCGCCCCCACCACCTCTAATCGATTGAGGCTTTCTTTGGTTCAATACTTTAATTGATCGTTGGTTACGTGAGGAGTGAGGAGGCCTACATCGTTTGAAGGCTTACCTCCAATTAGAAGGCGTCTCTGGATCCGGTTCAGATGGTCGTCGATTTCATACACTCCACCACCCATGTTCGTTCCAGGTTTGGGGGCCCTTCAGACCTAAAGTTGGTACATCTCCGCTTTGCCTTCTTCTTCTTATTCTTCATGAGGGGTTCAAATTTTCACAAAATTTGTCTATGCCTCGGTTGCAGGACTTATGAAGACTTGAATCCCATCACTAATTTCAGCTCTGAAATTCCAAATTCGCACTCATTCATCCTCTTTTTTGCGATTTATGTTCCGAGGTATGCCATTCTCACGCTTTTAGCATTTGGGTGTTTATTATCCCGTCCCTAGAAATAAGGCTCAGTTGCTTCCTCCCAATATCGTAAAAAACAAACCATATATTCATCAGATGCAATGTCAACAGAAAAACCAACATCGGAAGTGGGACTTACCGGATAGGAAATGGAGGTAGCAGCTGGCGCCGGCAGCTGTGGTCTGGAGCGAGATTGGAAGAGGGTCGCCGGTGGGAGAAAAACGAAGCTATGGTCTCGTCGGTGGTGAAGAAAAATCAAATCCAATGGAGAATAAGGTTCAAGAGGTTTGTGATTTTTTTCATTTCATTTCGATTTCTTATCATTATTTTGATGTGAATTACTTTACTCCCTTATGTTGATGTTGGTTTCAAATCATAGAGCAGCAAGTGTTGAGTGTTGCGAAAACTGTGCCTCCACCTCCTTTGTTTAGCTATTGTCGTCGATGGGTTGTTTCTCTGGTGGTTGGGCTTCCCCTAACCCACACAAATACTGCACAACTGCATGTATATAAACAGTAAGTACTCCTTTTTTTATTCAGGATTCAGATACTTCAATTCGAAAAAGAGCCATTGAACTTGTGAGGTCTGTATATACTTTTGTAGTGGTTTTCCAAATGATAGTTTATTGAATCTTCAATGTATGTTTCAATTGGGATTAGTTTTGCATTTGCTTACCGATTTCAATTAATAAAATACCAAATCATCATTGGGGATTAGGTTATTTTCCTGAGGACGGTTTGATGTTTAAAGCTTTTTGATGTTTACTTCAGGTTGCTTTTCTGAAATTTTCAACCACTTCCTTTGCCAAAGATTGAAACGTGTATAAGTAAATTTTGAAGTTGTTTACTATGATAATGTTTTCTAAATAACCAATGTCATAAAATTTATTGCTCATTCTATTCTAATTCCATGATTTAAGCTTCTTAGATATAACTTGGTGTCCTGAGAGACTGCCATACCAGTACATTCCACATATGTTATGTTTTTATTTATTTTTATCTTTTCTGATTACAACCAGAAAAACTGACGATGATGTGTCATATGGAAGCGGAGGGATTGTCATACCAGTGTATAATAGAGATTTAGTTATTGCTTACATACATCACAAATAAAGTGAACGAGGCAACCATTCTTAATGTTGTAAAGAAGAATTTCCCAAATCATCATATTGTAGGGGAGGAAGCAGTTGTCATTGGAGATTCATTTTCTGATTATCTGTATCTATGGTCCATAGAACATTTGGGTATGTGATTCAACACACTTTATTTTTTCATTTTATCATAATTTAAAAAAAAAACCAACTTCTTATTTCTCCATTTGTGCTTTAAGGTGCTGAAAGGCTTAGTGACTCCTCTCTCGAATCAGGATATTTTTGTCCCTCTTGCTATTTATGGTTGTACGTGGATTCAACTAAGAATTGGGTAGTTGTTGGGTTTTCTAATTTGTGTTTGCTTACACAGAAGGGGTTGCAGAATCCATCATTTATTGACTGATGCAGATTTAAAAAAGTTTCTTGGTGTATGTTGTTTGATTTCATCTTATTTAGTTTTACTCCCACTTCCCACTTCCCTCTTTTTTTTTTCCGAAGTTCCAACTTTTTACAAATTTGCCCTGATTTTGTTTTTTGGGATACTATAAATCTGAAATAAACAAATGAATGGAAGTACATTGTTATTTTGTTGAATATTGGTTGTTGTATTGTATGTGATTTGTGGTTTATTTTACTATTGTAAGTATGCAATGGTGGCTATTTTGATTTTTAGTTTGTAATTTTGTAGCTTTGGTTTCAATTTGCTGATACCATCCAACGCCTGCAACGCGGGGCACCTTTTCTAGTATATATTAAGGAAATGAAAGTTAGGAACAGTACCTCACCTAGGTACTGTTCATCAGGTTTACTTACTTAACCATGGTCACCGCCTCCACCCCAGTTTTACCCACTCAAAAATACGTGTCGTCTTCTACAAAAACATCGAGAAGAGCTCCACCTTTATAGAGTTGGCATACCACCTAAGTAGACACGCTTTCCACCACTGCTTCTTTCATCAATTTTCAGAATAACACCTTTCTCCATCTTACTAAAATAGAGAGCAACGGAGGTCGACTCACCGCTCCCCCTTCCGATCATTCGTCTCCATCGCCTCTGTCCACCTGTGCTTCTGATTGTCTACTTTTTTCTATTCATCATCTTATCTTCAGGTTCTCTTATCGACCAACTCAACCACTTAAACCGATTCTCCATCATTTTCCGTTTTGGTTCCGTTTTCAGAAGAGTCAAGTGTTTTTTTTTTTTGGGGGGGGGGGGGGTTGGATCGATGGTTTGTTGTCGTTCATGTGTTTCAACTGAGTACTCACCTTGGATTTTCAGATGGTGTTTGTTGAAGCTGATCTGTTTGGGACGGCGTATCGGGAATGTTTACCAACTGAAGTGGGGAGGAGGATCGGAAATTTAAGAAATTGATTGTTTGGAGTTGTTTACCTCTATCTAAATTTAACTTTGGTGATGTTTTGGATATATTTTATAAGGTATGCTATTTTTTTTTTCAGATTCCAAAGGAAACCGGGTAATAGATTAACGTGTTGTATGTGTACTTCTTTTTTTGTGATCAATTTCCTTTCCTGCTCATAATCACCATCATAAATGTTGATTACATTGATGGTGTGTTCATACAGATTGTTACAGCGTATGATTGGAAAATATGATGTGCACAATTAAATATACATATTACAATGATTTTCAGATGGTGTTTGTTGAAGCTGATATGTTTGGGCTAGCGTATCGGGAATGTTTACTCATTCAATCTTAATAGAGAAGTAATTTATAACCTGCTATTTGTAATTTGTTGTTGTTTTGAAGTTTTTAGAATTTCTTTTACATTATTAATGGAATATATTTCCTCTTTAGAGACGCACATCAAGTGCTCGAAAAAATGTCTGATACAAACACCACTACGAAATATGTGACTCAAAATAGGGGTTTGTTGCTGGAACAATCATCTTATGTACAAGCAAGTGGAAAAGCTCGCGTCTGTTAATATTCAGTGAAGAAGTATTATTTATTTACTTACTTCCACCTATAATCTTCAATGTTGGATAAGGTCAGTGCCTGCGTATTTAGTTTATCCAATTACCTCAGCTATTCTACATGTATCCCTAATTTTAAGCTTACTATGAACAACTTTCACGTAAAGAAGTATGACAACTTTCAATGGATTTTCCCCGATTTAGGGTTCGACCTAAACAACACCGTCAATTTGCACCTTGCAGGTTTGTATACAATCTTTTCTCCTCTCTTTTTTTATTCTAAGTTCAATTTTGCATTTGACCTAAATATTAGTGCTTTGATCTTTTTTTTCACTTTGGATCAATGTTATCACCTGAATAAAAGAGTTTGATCATAGCAACTACATATTTTTTTTTGGAGGAACAAGTGTTGGAGAGAGGTTGAGATTGATGGCCCTCTTCCGGGCTTCCATTTTATTCCTAGCAAGTAACTTCATGACCTTCTTTCTTTTTGATAATTTTCATTTCTCTTTGATGGTGTTGGATTTGATCTCACTTTTTCATCTTATTATTATGATTGCCTTTTGGATCATCTTGAAATAGATACTTGAAAGATGACAACCCATGTGGGTCTGTTGGTTGACTATACAATTTTAGAGATCTCATCACAAAAGTAACAAGAAAAAAATATCTTTTCAAACTCCTATTGAATGCTAAGGTTTTTTATAACAATTGCACACGTTATTTCTAAATTGTGATGTTTCCTGCACTTTCCCATTGTCCGAGATGTTTGATTTGACTTCTTTTTTTTTATATACATTACATAAATTTATATAAAATTCATTCATGTTAATAGGAAACTTAAATTTTTAAATGACTCACTCTAACATACATTACATATTTTTTTATAAAGGCTCATAAAAATATGGTTGGATGGGAACAATCATTCTAATTAAGGTGTCTCCAATATCAGTTGATCCTAATTACGATGAGTTGTTCCATTACAGTAATAAACCTGAAACTTTGTATGTGCTTAACTAAAGTCAACAACTTGACATGTTAGATAAAATAATTAGTTTTTACTGTTTTGGTCTAATAACATATCTAATATACACAGGTTAGTAACCGAATAAATTGTGGTGTTTATGTATTTACACCCAAAATCTTTACTGCAATTCAAGGTGTTTCTGCAAAACGAAAAGATAAAGGTTAGTTAAAACTTATAAAAAACTACAATATAAATTATTATGTTTTTTTTAAATGAATTATGTTTTTTATTATCTTGCAGCTAATTTGAGATGTCAATCCAGCTTTGACGCCTTAAAGTCAGCAACAAGGTACTTCTTTTTTAATTTTTTTTAATTCGTTTTTAATTTTTTTTTTATTTTTCATTTTTTTAATTAATGACACAATTAAGTAGTTTTATAGAGAAGAATTTTGGTTTCAAACCCCAGTTCGAATAGGAGTATATTATGTTATAGCATGACCAACTTTAGCTTCATAATAAACCAACCGAATTGATATTTCTCTTTTGTTTGGAACCCACATCCTGTTCGTAGAAATCCATTGAACCAATGTTCAAATTTGAACAAATAAAAAGTTTCATGTGGATTAGGGTTTATTGAAAAGTTAGGAGGATTTCAACCTTTTGATTTTTTTTAAACAGTGGAAGATTGGAGCCATTTGAAGAAACAGGTATATGGTTCACTGTTTCAACATTGTTTTCTTCAACTGAAATACTGTTTTTTTTTTTCAAATTTGTATTATTTTATGGTAAATTTTCCAGATTACTTCTCAAGAGTGTTGGTATAGCTCAAAGGGTTCTTATAAATCCTAGCCAAAGTACCGAAACAATATATTGAAGGTGGGTATCATCATCCAAAACTATATAAACACATTTCAGATTAATATTTATAATTGTATCTTTTTACATCAGATGTGTTCTCTAATATATTTTACTTTTGTTAATTTATATTTGTTACTACTAGATGTTGCTCTCCAAATTACGAAATTACCCTTGATTGGTTAAGCTCGCATGTTACGAAATGAGATGATTAGTGGTCATGGTTATTGATAAATGGAATAATAATAGATTGTTTCTCTTTACTGGGTTTCATTGTTTTTTAAAATGGATTAATTTTTTCTTCATCAAAATCATCTTCACTTACCACTTCTTGAAGAAAATTAATGGTAATCATATTGTTTCTATTAAGGTTTTGACTTATCTTTTTTCCCGCTCATATTGTGGTTTGCTTTCATTCTTTCGTACCCTCATGTTAATACCGAGGGCCATATTGTTTAAATGAATGTCCATAATACATTTTCTCTTCAATTCTTAAACTACCCATTGGAATTTGGAGACCTTAGAATGGTGTTAGGTGCATAATTTGATCATTCAAGGAAATGAAATCGAAGAAGATGGGTGAAGGATGGGGTAAATATGAAGATGTTCTTTCTGTATTTATTGTAGATTACATTCTACTTAGATTTAAAACTACGTGGATAAAAGATTGTATTTTCATTGTTTTTTGA